AATGGAAACAATCTACATGCCCATCAATACAAGACTAAATAAATTAAAATAATAAATAATCAATATTTACTAAATTATGGTGTGACCACACCACAAAATACTGCAAAGTACAATGACACATGCACTGATTAAAAAAGTTGTTCCAGCAACATTAGTAAATTTTTTAAAAAAACAAATTATTAAATGGAATGTATATACACTCTCATTTGATCAATGTAAGTTCCACGTGTGTGTGTGTGTATAAAAAGTGTGTGTGTGTATTATGTATGTATATGTGCCTAGATAGTTTCAGGAGAGGAAAGGAGTCTTACTTCCTACTTCACATCTGAGCAGTTTGAATTTTTTTCTATCACGATCATGCATTACTCCTTTAATTTAGAATGCTTAGAAGAAAGGGCGGATCAGCCCATTCCTGATGGAGAAACGAGCCAGTCCTGGAGCAGAGAGAGGGCAAAGCAGCTGAGGGAGGGAGGAAGCTGAGCCTGACCCTAAGACGACCCCTGGCCACCCTCCCCACCCCAGCCCCTCCCAGGAATAAGCAGGCTCACCGTGGCTCCCAGGGCAGAACTGGCCGGCTGCCTGAGACCTACCATCAGTACTGACTGACTCGGGAGCCGGGTCCTGGGCACTGCTGGGCCCACAGACCTCCAGTGAGCTGGGCTCCCTCTGCCCAGCCTGGGAGAGGGCTTCTTCTTCTCGGGTGAGGGCAGGCGTCCACCGGGGAATGTGAGAGGTGCCCTGGGAGATGAGCTCGTTCAGGTAATGCTCGATCACCTCCTTTCCCTGGAAGACAGAGACACATCAGTACCACGGAGGCGGGCCTGGGAGTCACCCATCACTGGCTCCCACCCCAGCCCGACACATGGCTAGAGAGCAGTTGAAATCAGCAGGTCCAAGTGGAGAAGTGCTGGGCGTGCTAAATACACACCGATTTCTAAGACTCAGACCCAAATGAAGAAAGTGAAATAGCCCACAAGTAAGTTTTATATTTGTATATTTTATATTTTAAAGTATTTATATGTTAAATATTATATATTGACTTCCCTGGTGGCTCAGATGGTAAAGCGTTTGGTTTGCCTACAATGCAGGAGACCTGGGTTCGATCCCTGGGTCGGGAAGATCTCCTGGAGAAGGAAATGGCAACCCATTCCAATCCTATGGACAGAGGAGCCTGGTAGGCTACAGTCCATGGGGTCACAAAGAGTCAGACACAACTGAGTGACTTCACTTTCACTTTCATTATATATTTATTTATACATATTTATAAATATATTTTTAAATATTATAAAATACTGTATATTTTATATTTTTATTTGGCTACCTGATGCTAAGAGCCATCTCATTGGAAAAGACCTGATGCTGGGATAGATTGAGGGCAGGAGGAGAAGGGGGTGGCAGAGGATGAGATGGTTAGATAGCATCACCAACTCAATGGTCATGAATATGAGCAAACTCTGGGAGATAGCGGAGGACAGAGGAGCCTGGTGTACTGCAGTCCACGGGGTTAAAATGAATTGGACACAACTTAGTGATTGAACAAGTTTTCTGTTGAAAACATGTGAGTAGAAATATAACTTAATTAAAATGAAGTTCACCTGTTTCACTGCACTAACACGCCTCTAGTCAGTGATGGTCTGAGATCTTTAAACCAAGCACCACACAAAGTCCCTCTGTGCCGAGCTCTCTGCATAAGCCCAGGGGCAAATGACTCCGGTGCCCTGTCCTGGAGCAGGTGCTTTCCATACATCATCTCACCTGATGTGACTTGATTAGAATACCCATTCTACAGATGAGGAGACTGAGGTTGAGGAAGGTTAAGGGTCTCAGAGTTGCAGATCAGCGTCTGCAGGCTCCAAGGTCTGTGTACCTTCCTCCCCATGACCAAGGGAACCCACCTCTTACCCTCTTGACGTTGGCCGTGTACTGCCTCATGGCGATCTTCTCCAAGGCGCTTTCAAAGCCAAAGAAGGACCGGATGTCAAGTGAGGCAGATTGCTCAAAGCACGTCCAGTCTTCATTCTCAGGGTGGACCTGAAAAGCCAGGCAGGGGCGGCAACACTGGCTCAGCGTGGGGGATGACATGCCCTCTCGGGGGGCTCTCGGTGACCTGGACCCAGCCAGAGCAGGCAGTGGGCAGCATGTCACAGCCTGGCCAGGGGTACCAGCAGTACCTGGCCAGGGTCACAGCAGTACCAGGAGGCTCTGTCCAGAGAACAATGCAAGGTCTAAACCTTAGAGAAGACTTCTCAGGAGGGACCTGAAGAAAGTGAGTCCAAAGTTCCAGTCTCTTAAAAATTATACATACACAACGATGAACTTCCCTGGTGGTCCAGTGGTTGGGAATCCGCCTGCCAATGCAGCAGACGCGGGTTCGATCCCTGGTCTGGGAGGATTTTACTCGCCACTGGGCATCTAAGCCTGTGCGCCACAACTACTGAGCCCATGGACCCTAGAGCTTAGGCTCTGCAACAAGAGAAGCTACTGCAGAGAGAAGCCTAGACATTAAAGAGCAGCCCCTGCTTGCCGCAACTAGAGAAAACTCATATGCAGTGACAGGGACCCAGCACAACCAAAAAGTAAGTAAAAAATAAAATAGATTTTTAACAAAGTGTGCATATGTGATATATTTAAATAAATATTTAATATATCATAAATTATGCATAAATACTATATTTTTAAATGTATTTGTTGTGAAAGTGTTAGCCATTCAGTCATACTGACTCTGTGACCCCATGGGCTGTCCATGGAATTCTCCAAGAATACTGGAACAGGTAAGCCATTCCCTTCTCCAGGAGGATCTTTCCCACCCAGGGAAGGAACCTGGGTCTCCTGCATTGCAGGCGGATTCTTTACCATTTGAGCCACCAGGGAAGCCCCACATATAACAATATATGTTTTTATTTCAGCTGTGTCTGTGAACTGCAGGTGTCAGGAGCTCCTGCATCCTCTCTGACATCTCCCTGGGAGGGCGGGAGCCGCCAGGATCTCACCGACCTCTGGGCCCAGCCTGGTGAGTGGGGGATCCAATCCCGGCGGCCAGCCCCTGGCTCACCCTGTAGCTGCAGTTCTCCTTGACCACCACGCGGTTGGCGAAGGTCTCGTTGTGCGCTTCGATAAGGAGCGTCCTCTCCTTCCTGTTCAAGACGTTTCTTTGCACGAAGACCACGTGCTCCACGCCGGCGATCTGCAGGAAAGAGACAGCAGGGTGTGCAGGCTGGCGTGAGGTGAGGGCTGGGGGGAGGGGGAGGGGGGACACGAGTGCCGAGGACTGTCACCCCCGGACCCCAGGAAACCCCGGGGTCTCGCCCTGACCACCAGCCCAGCCCAGATCCCTGGAACTCTGAATTCGGGGAATCCCCGGACTTGCGGACCCTTGGTCCCCTGCCCGGCGCCAGCCCACCCGCCGGGACCCCTGACTTCAACCCCTTCCCCCCACCTCCCGGGCCCTGGAACTCCCAGTTGGCCCTGGTTCTCCAGACAATACCCAGCCTCAGCCCAGCGCCCCCGGCCCTCCTCTCCCCTGGACCCGGGAGGCCCCCAGTCCAGAACCTGCGCCAAGCACTGACACACGCGTGTCCCCACGCCTGAACCCCGCCCCCTGTCCCAGGTCCCCGCCTGCCAGCCCCACCCCGGTGCGGGACCCTCCCCCGCGGGGCCCCAGTTCCCCAGGGACCCCCTCCGCGCCCACCTTGCGCAGCAGCCGCGGGGCCTCCACGCGCAGCCGGCAGCTCCGCTCCACCACATGCACCGCGCCGTCGGCGCTGCGGGACTCACGCAGGACCTCGCTGCCCAGGAAGACCGGGATCTGCGGGCAGGTGGGGAAGCGCTTCTCGTAGGCCTGGGGGCGGAGGGGCGGGGGCCAGGTGAGCGCCAAGGGGGCCGGGGGCGGCCAGAACACCTCCTCCCTCCCCCCCCAAACCTGGCTGGGCCCTTGTCTCAATTCCGGGACGAGACAACCAGAGAGGAGAAGGGTGTCTCCCCTGGGGAAAGAGCGGGGACCACTGGCCCTATTAGGGCAACTGGGGCAGGGACACAGGCGTGCCTGAGCCCCTGACTTGGCAAATCACATTTTGACTCTATGTGTGAAATGAAATATTTTCTGCCCTACAGCTCTCCGGGGGAAGCAAGCCTTTTCCAAATGCAAATTCCTGGGCCCAGGTGAAACAAAGCTAGCTCTCTGGAAGACATCAGGTACTTCCTCCCTGTTGAGCAGCTGGGGAGAGGAGAGGAGGCCTTCCTCCACACTGGCCATCGCTTACCTTAAACAAGGGATCAAGAAATTCGTATGTGAACAATAAAGAAAGCAGGATTGGTCCCAGATAGCTAGACACATATGAAAGAAATTATTTCAGCAAGCCCGGACTCTTGCATCTTCCTATACATAGAAGATCGCTAAATATCTCCATGTGAGAGATTTAGCTTTTCTTAAATTAAGAGTCATCTTTTAATATTCAGATTACCTGCCCGTAGCTACAAACTTGTATATAGCCTGGCTCCTCCCTTGCCTCCTGGGGGTCAGCTCTCTCTGGGTCACTTGAGAAGCTGTCTCTGGGACTCCAGTCTTAACATTCCCACCAAATAAAACCTAACTCTCAACTTTTGGCTCAAGTCCTAACATTCCCACTGAATATAACCTCTCAACTTTTAGGTTACAGGTGGTGTTTGTTTGTTTGTTTGTTTCCGGTTGATGTACATTGGAGTTTTTGCCCTCTGAAATGGGCTAGTTTGGGGCATTTTAAAAGAAGGCATGTTTCAGGGGGGAAACAAAAGATGACAAAACCAACACTCCTTCACGATTTAAAAAACAAACAAGACTCAACAAAGTAGGAATAGAAGGGAACTTGCCCAATCTGATAAAGGGCACATACAAGAACCCCAGCTAACATCATGCTCAGTAGGAAAAGACTGACACTTTCCCCTAAGATCAATTTGAACTGTGGTGCTGGAGAAGACTCTTGAACATCCCTTGGACAGCAAGGACCAGTCCATCCTAAGGGAAATCAGTCCAGAATATTCATTGGAAGGACTGACGCTGAAGCTGAATCTCCAATACTTTGGCCATCTGATGTGAAGAACTGACTCATTGGAAAAGACCCTGATGCTGGGAAAGATTGAAAGTGAGAGAAGGGGACGACAGAGGATGAGATGGTTGGATGGCATCACCGACTCAATGGATATGAGTTTGAGTAAGCTCTGGGAGTTGGTGAGCAATGGACAGGGAGGCCTGCCTGGCATGCTGCAGTCCACGGGGTCACACAGAGTTGGACACAGCTGAGCGACTGAACTGAACTTCCCCTCAGATCAGGAACTAGGCGGGGATGCCTGCTTTGGCTGCCTGCATGTAGCCCTCTCCTAGCCCTTGCCTAGAACCTAGGGGTTCTAACCAGGGCGGTTAGGCAAGTGAAAAATAAAAAGCCTCTAGATTGGAGGATGAGAGGCCAGTTCCCCGAAATGCCAGGGTCAGAGCCAAAGGGGGAATCAGGGGCGGGGGTGGGGAGTGGGGGCGTGCCATCATCGGTGGCTGACAGTATTCAAGCAGGGTTTGCTCCAAGAGCCTGTCACAGCCACGTGTCCCGGAATCAGGATCAAAGTGAGCTCCAAAAATAGGCGTGAGCTCCAAAAATAGTGCCGGCATCTGAGGACACATACCTCCTCCCCATCCCTAGGGGGAGGTGGCACCACTCCGCTCAGAAGGGCAGAAGCAAGGGAGGGGCAAGGAAGTGTCACTCAAGGCCCCACAAGGCCAGCCTAGCGCATCCTCCACCAGGGTCAGGAGGTCAGGGCTGCCTCCACGTCTAGAGGCTGGTTGCTTTGTGCAAACACACCAGGGTCAGAATCATTCTCCTCGGGGAAGAATGAACAGTGGGGTTCCCGGGGTTCTGGACTCAGAGGGCTGGCAAGGGAGGCCCCCTGAGAACGGTCTCCTTGCTACACATCTCAGGCCACCTTGGACCCTCTCTCAGAGGAAGGCATTGTGGACTTCCCTGGTAGTCCAGTGGTAAAGAATCCGCCTTGCAATACAAGGGACAGGGGTTCAATCCCTGGTCCGGGGTGATTCCACGTGCAGCACAACTACTGAGCCTGCACTCTAAAGCCTGTGCTCCACGAGAGAAGCCACGACCAGAGAGTATCCCTCACTCGCCACACCTAGAGAAAGCCCATGCGCGGCAACAAAGACCCAGCGCAGCCAAAAATAAGTAAAGGATTAAATTAACCAACAACAAAAAAGGAAGGCATTTCTCCACTGAGGACAGTGCTGCTTTAAGTAGAACTCGGCGTGGGGTCCAGCACCTGGTTTGAAGCCCAGGTCCACCTCCTCCCAGAGGAGAGGCAGGTCCGTCTTTTCTCTAAGCCAGTTTCATCACCTGGAAACTGGGCACAGACCAGATTGAGTATCTCATGCAGAGCCTGGCACATAGTAGGCACCTAGGATTTTTATTCTTCAGGCAACAGGACTCAAATGACATAGCTCAGGTTTTCAGGCACCAAAAACAACTCCCCCCAACCCCAGGCCCTTCTGAGCAGGGGGAGCCAGAGGAACTGGGGTCGGCCCCACCTCTGTGATGGGCAGAGGGATGTTGACTTTTTTTTTTTAATTATATGGAGGGAAAGGAGTGCGTGTGTCAGAACTGGTCAGGCTCAGTTTGGGTTTCTGCTCCCCTGGTGGCTCAGGTGATAAAGCATCTGCCTGCAATGTGGGAGACCCACGTTCGATCCCTGGGTAGGGAAGATCCCCTGGAGAAGGGAATTACAACCCACTCCAGTACTCTTGCCTGGAAAATTCCATGGACAGAGGAGCCTGGTAGGTACAGTCCACGGGGTCACAAAGAGTCGGACACTACTGAACAACTTCACTTTCTTTCTTTCACTTTTTTACCTTCTCACTGGGTGATGTTGGACAAGTGACTTGCCCTCTCTGAGCCTCTGTCTCCTCATCTGTAAAATGGGCTGGTGGTAAGGATGTCATTAGATCACATCTCAGGCACACGGTGAGTCTCAATTCTGCTCCTCCAGCTGTGTGCTTTCTTCCATTTAATCCTCTAAACGGCATCCTCATTTGACAAATGAGGAAACTGGAGCCCAGAGAGGCTAAGTAACTTACCCGAGGTCACACAGTGCAAAACGGTAAACCTAGATTTGAATCCTAGGCTGGCCCAGCCCTACTCCCTCAGGAACCTCTTGCTTAGCAGTTTGGAAACAGCCCAGGGGTTGCAGACTTGCCGATGGCCCAAACAGCTCCAAGGAAGGGGAGCAGGGAGAGGAATGGGAGGCTGTGAGCTCAGTGCACGCGGCCAGCCCAGCGTCACCGACTTCCTGTCTTAACAGACCTCTTGTGGGAGGAACCCTGTCTGGAGACCCCAGATAACACAGGGGCTGAACCAAGCAGTAGACGTGCCCTTGGCCACAACTCCCCTTGACTGTGAGGAGGAAGGCACTTCTGTTCAAAAATGGTGCCACCCCCAGTTCTGGACTCAGAGGGCTGGCAAGGGAGGCCCCCTGAGAACGGTCTCCTTGCTACACATCTCAGGCCACCTTGGACCCTCTCTCAGAGGAAGGCATTGTGGACTTCCCTGGTAGTCCAGTGGTAAAGAATCCGCCTTGCAATACAAGGGACAGGGGTTCAATCCCTGGTCCGGGGTGATTCCACGTGCAGCACAACTACTGAGCCTGCACTCTAAAGCCTGTGCTCCACGAGAGAAGCCACGACCAGAGAGTATCCCTCACTCGCCACACCTAGAGAAAGCCCATGCGCGGCAACAAAGACCCAGCGCAGCCAAAAATAAGTAAAGAATTAAATTAACCAACAACAAAAAAGGAAGGCATTTCTCCACTGAGGACAGTGCTGCTTTAAGTAGAACTCGGCGTGGGGTCCAGCACCTGCTTTGAAGCCCAGCTCCACCTCCTCCCAGAGGAGAGGCAGGTCCATCTTTTCTCTAAGCCAGTTTCATCACCTGGAAACTGGGCACAGACCAGATTGAGTATCTCATGCAGAGCCTGGCACATAGTAGGCACCTAGGATTTTTATTCTCCAGGCAACAGGACTCAAATGACATAGCTCAGGTTTTCAGGCACCAAAAACAACTCCCCCCAACCCCAGGCCCTTCTGAGCAGGGGGAGCCAGAGGAACTGGGGTCGGCCCCACCTCTGTGATGGGCAGAGGGATGCTGACTTTTTTTTTTTAATTACATGGAGGGAAAGGAGTGCGTGTGTCAGAACTGGTCAGGCTCAGTTTGGGTTTCTGCTCCCCTGGTGGCTCAGGTGATAAAGCATCTGCCTGCAATGTGGGAGACCCACGTTCGATCCCTGGGTAGGGAAGATCCCCTGGAGAAGGGAATTACAACCCACTCCAGTACTCTTGCCTGGAAAATTCCATGGACAGAGGAGCCTGGTAGGTACAGTCCACGGGGTCGCAAAGAGTCGGACACTACTGAACAACTTCACTTTCTTTCTTTCACTTTTTTACCTTCTCACTGGGTGATGTTGGACAAGTGACTTGCCCTCTCTGAGCCTCTGTCTCCTCATCTGTAAAATGGGCTGGTGGTAAGGATGTCATTAGATCACATCTCAGGCACACGGTGAGTCTCAATTCTGCTCCTCCAGCTGTGTGCTTTCTTCCATTTAATCCTCTAAACGGCATCCTCATTTGACAAATGAGGAAACTGGAGCCCAGAGAGGCTAAGTAACTTACCCGAGGTCACACAGTGCAAAACGGTAAACCTAGATTTGAATCCTAGGCTGGCCCAGCCCTACTCCCTCAGGAACCTCTTGCTTAGCAGTTTGGAAACAGCCCAGGGGTTGCAGACTTGCCGATGGCCCAAACAGCTCCAAGGAAGGGGAGCAGGGAGAGGAATGGGAGGCTGTGAGCTCAGTGCACGCGGCCAGCCCAGCGTCACCGACTTCCTGTCTTAACAGACCTCTTGTGGGAGGAACCCTGTCTGGAGACCCCAGATAACACAGGGGCTGAACCAAGCAGTAGACGTGCCCTTGGCCACAACTCCCCTTGACTGTGAGGAGGAAGGCACTTCTGTTCAAAAATGGTGCCACCCCCATGCATGGGAGGACCCCAGAACCTAGGGAAGGCAGGAGGCTATGCCAGTGCCAGTTCAGAGTCTGACGCTGTCGGCCGGAGATTCCCTGGGGTTGTGAAGGCTGGCATTGGACACCACTGTTACCGTGACATTTACAGAGGGCTGACTGCACCTCTGTGTCCTCCCTACATCCTGTTGGGATGGAGACTAGTATTCCCCCATT